GGCTTAAGAGCGTGATCCCCCTGTAGTTGGAACACTCTACCGTCCCCCTTTTTGAATGGGGGGACCACCACCCCGGTCTGCCAATCCAGGGGAACTTCCCCCGATGTCCACGCAATATTGCAGAGTCGTGTAAGGCAACACAACCCTACAACATCCAGAGCCTTAAAGGAACTCCGGGCGAATCTCATCCACCCCAGGGGCCCTGCCACCGAGGAGCTTTTTAACCACCTCGGTGACCTCAGCACCAGAGATTGGAGGGCCCAACCCAGAGTCCCCAGGCTCCGCTTCCTCAGTGGAAGACATGCCGGTGGGATTGAGGAGGTCTTCAAAGTATTCTGCCCACGGACCCACGACATCCCGAGTTGAGGTCAGTAGCACACCACCCCCACCATAAACAGTGTTGGTGGTGTACCGCTTTCCCCCCCCGAGAAGCCAGATGGTGGAACATAATCGCCTTCGAGTTGTGCGGAAGTCATTCTCCATGGCCTCTCCAAACTCCAGTAAGCCGCCTCGACAATAGAGGCACGGAACATGGCCCACTCGAACTCAATGTCCCCCACCTCCCCCGGAACATGTTCGAAGTTCTCCCGGAGGTGGGATTTAAAGCTCCATGTCACAGGAGAGTCTGCCAGACGTTTCCAGCAGACCTTCACAATACGTTTGGGTCTGCCAGGTCTGAACGGCATCCTCCCCCACCATCGGAGCCAACTCACCACCAGGTAATAGTGGACAGCTCCGCCCCTCTCTTCACCCGAGTGTCCAAGACATGTGGCAGCAGATCAGATGAGATGATGACACAGTCGATCAAACTGCAGCCTAGGGTGTCCTGGTGCCAAGAGCACATATGGACACCCTTATGCTTGAATATGGTGTTCGTTATGGACAATCCATGACGAGCACAGAAGTCCAACAACAGTATACCACTCGGGTTCAGATCAGGGGGGCCATTCCTCCCAACCACATCCCTCAAGGTCTCACTGTCATTGCCCACGTGAGCATTGAAGTCCCCCAGCAGAACAAGAGAGTTCCCAGGAGGTGCATTTTCCAGTACCCCCTTCCAAGGACTCCAAAAAGGGTGGATAATCTGAACTGCCGTTTGGTGCATAAGCACAAACAACAGTCAGAACCCGTCCCCCCACACATAGGCAGAGGGAGGCCACCCTCTCATTTACCGGGGTGAACCCCAACACACAGGCACCAAGATGGGGGGCAATAAGTATGCCCACACCTGCTCGGCGCCTCTCACCAGCAGCAACTCCAGAGTGGAAGAGTGTCCAACACCTCTCAAGGAAACTGGTTCCAGAGAGAACATAGTCCATTTATTTAGCTCATCATGGGGTGTTTGGACTGCACTTTGTCTGGTCCCTCATCTAGGACCTGTCTGCCTTGAGAGACCCTACTAGGGGCATGAAGCCCCTGACAGCATAGCTCCTAGGATCATTGGGACACTCAAACCCCTCCACCACGGAAAGGTGGCAGCCCAGGGAGGAGTTATCTTATTACATTTCAAAGAAATGTGCAACGTTCCTCCTTCCTGATTTCCTTCCTCAGCGCGCTCCTGGAGCACCAAGGCAGCAAATACTTTTGAAAATGCAGCTGATTTGACCGTAAAAAGTCCTTTCATTAGGTAAAAGTTCAACTGAGACACACTTTTACTATAAAGTCGAGCAAACAAATTGTTTTTACGTGTTTATCTTGTTAAATTTTTGAAGAAATGCACAGCGAGTCGCCCTCTGCGTGTTCCTACTTTCACTAACAGGCTTTTGAAATGCAGTTCATTTGACTGTCAAAGTGCATTTATTAAGGAAACGTTAGACTGAGACACACCTTTGCTATCATTTCCCGCAAACAAATAATTGTTTTAAAGTGTTAATCTTGTTAAATTCTTGTTAAAGTCCTCCTGTGCATGATTCTGCCATTTGGCAGCCAATCGATTTTTGGCTCAACACCGGCCCACATTTCCGGGTTAGGCCCACATTTCTGGGTTGTCAGCGGTGACGTATAATAGATGCAACGTATACGGTGAAGCAACATATTTATGGATTTTTCCATTTATTAGACATTTTTGGACTGATGTGACTTACAGGGCGGAGCGACATGTACGACGAAAAATATGGTTATGTGCAAACAGAAGAACAAGCAGTGTTAGTTTCTCTCCATTGGCTCCCTGTCAAAGCCAGAATAGAATTCAAAATCTTACTTCTAACCTACAAAGCTCTCAACAACCTGGCTCCATCTTATATTACAGATCTTATTGTTCCATATTTTCCTAACAGAGCACTTTGCTCTCAGGCTGCAGGTTTACTTGTGGTTCCTAGAATTTACAAAAACAGAATGGGAGGAAGATCTTTCAGTTATTAGGCTCCTCTCTTGTGGAACCAACTTCCAGTTTCTGTCAGAGGCTGACACATTATCCAGTTCTATTTCATCCCTCCTGACCGCCAGAGGGCTGTGCTGAAAGCACTGAATGTTCCCTTCGCGCATGCGCTGATTCGAGTAATAATACCAACGGAGTCACAGGTGTGACACCGATGACCAATCAGAGGCTATATAGCCCGACGTCATCCGCTGCTATGCTCCTATTTTCTTCTCGCGCGCGGTTCAATTCAGGGCTTCAGCCCTTTGGACCTTTTCTGAACTTTTTACCGTCGTCGGAAGCCCGACTGCCCGTTTGCAGGAGTAGCGTGTTCGCCCTCCTAGGGCTGCGACGGTTTAACCCTGTTCAAAGGTATTTCTGCTGTTTCGTTGGGGACTACGGCGGTTTCCGCCTCTCCCAAATTACAGCGTCTGACTACTATGTGTGTGATTCAACACCGGTGAGTAGTTTTCCTTATATTTCGCCGTTGGTTAGAGGTAGCGTTCGCTCCGCTCACGCTTGTTGGGAGACCTCCAACCGCATGGTTGGCTGGACTGTGCTCCGACGTTGTTTATGACTACTAGGTGTGTGATTCAACACTGGTGAGTAGTGTTTTTTTGCTTATATTTTGCTATTGGTTAGCGGTAGCGTTCGCTCCGCTCCTGTTTACTGGAGGCCTCCAACCGCGTGGTCGGTTGGATTGTGCTCCGAAGTTTGCTTATTACATAGCCAGCTGAGTTCCTGGCCTTGTTTTATTTGGTGAAGGCGAGTGTTCTCACCCCCTCTCCCAATTGTCCTCTCTTACCAGCTGAGCTAGTGGTGCTAGCCTCTCTGAATATCTTGGACATAGCTGGGTAAGGAGCATGGACGGCTCTCACTGCTGTACAGTCTGTGGAGCCATGCTCCAGACAGATGACGGTCACGACCTGTGTCCTGCCTGCCTTGGACATGACCATCTGGTGGATGCCCTGTCGGAGAACCCCTGCATGAATTGCAGCTTCATGTCGCATGCTGTGAGGGTGGCCCGGCTGGCCCAGTTTCGCCCCAAACTCGGCGATTACCTCCCGCCTTCTGGGCAGGAGGCTCCACCTAGGCGCTCGAAGCGCTGGACTGAGGCCGCAGTCTCTGTGGCCCCTCCTGGGAAGAAGCGAGCCAGGTCTGATAGGGGCCTCTCCACAAGAGTGGAGCAACTCTCCGCTGAATTAGCGGAGATGAAGTCCCTTTTTCAGGTACGCCAACTGGGAACTGAACCAGTGGCAGCGACCGGACTCTCCTCCCCACCCATGCCTGAACTGGCTGTGGAGGAAGATGTGCCATCCTTGGCTGCCTCTGCCTCTCACTTTTTAGGTGAGGAGGACGGGCATTCATCTCAAGTCTCAGAGACAGCTTCACTCTCTTCTTCTCGGAGTGCAGTTAGTGGGTCGGGTGACGGCTCGATGCAGGACGTCATGCGTATGGCCCTGAGACAACTGCAGCTGGACGTCCCACAACCAGAGGCGTCCATCCCTGGAAGTGCCTTCTTCAGGCGCGGACTGACCCCTCCTTCCTTTTCTGTCCCTCCATCAGAGGAGTTCCTGAGGGAGTTGCATGGTTGCTGGCGGGACCCCAAAGCCTTTGCGCGCCTCTCTGCAGATGGCAGAGTGTTTGCGGCCATGCATGAGCCGGCTGCAGCAGGCTTGGATTGCATGCCAGCGATAGAACCTGCTGTTGCCTCTCTCATCTTGTCACCAGAAGAAGCTCTGCGCAGTCATGTTCGGTGCCCACGAGCTCAGTGTCGTGTCACAGATGAATTCCTCTGCAGAGCCTATGCCGCCGGAGCGCGTGCTGGCCGCCTAAGTAATTCCTTGGCACACCTAATGCTTGCCCTCTCCGCGTCCCTTCAGGGGACTAGTGGTGTGACAGCAGCAATGGGCTTTAACGATGCAGCGATTCAGGCCTTTGCACTAATGACGAGGGAGCTTGGGCGCGTGATGTCCTCCTTGGTCCAAGCTCGCCGACAGGTCTGGTTGGCGCAGTCAGCATTGACTGAGCCATACCGTAGAGCTCTCCGTAATGTCCCAGTGGTGCCGGGGGAGTTGTTTGGTTCGGCTGCCTTGGAAGCACTGGAACGGACTCTTCAGGCACGACAGAGAAGGCAGCAATTTTCAAGCCTTAGCAGGCCAATGCCCCCTCCACCTCCTCGGCATCCAAGGCGCCTGTCGGCTGGCTCTAGCATGCAGCCACCGCCTGGGGGTCATAACCGGCCGGGTGGTCCTTACCCTCATGCGGTTCAGCAAAGGCCCAGCAGGAGCTTTCGTGGGTCGGTCCATCGACCAGCTGGGCAGGCTCGGACCAGGGACTCTGGCTGCCGCCATGCCATCAGGCCGACCGTCGGATATTTCTCCCACCAGCAGCTCAGCTATTGGGTTGCTCACGCCGTGGACCCATGGGTGGTTGCCACTCTGACCCATGGTAATCGGCTACAGTTCCGACGGCGGCCTCGTATCTCATGCCGGGTCAAGATGATTGCAATCGCCGACCCGGTGAAAGCTCAAGCACTAGACCAGGAACTTTCCGCCCTCCTGGCCAAGGGCGCAATAGAGGCAGTGGACCCTCTGCAACAACCCAGGGCTATTACTCGACTTACTTCCTTGTGCAAAAGAGGATGGGCGGGTTTCGTCCCATTTTAGACCTGAGGGGACTCAACCAGTACCTAAAGGAGCTGCCCCTCCACATGCTCACAACAGCAGAAGTCCTTCAAGCTGTTATGAGGGAAGAATGGTTCACGTCTGTAGACCTGAAGGATGCATATTTTCATGTGCCTATTGCGGCAGAACATCGCCGCTTTCTCAGGTTTGCCTATCGGGGTCACCACTGGCAGTTCTGGGTACTCCCATTCGGGCTCTCTCTCCCCAAGGGTGTTCACTCGGTGCATAAAGGCAGCCCTCTCTCCTCTGCAGGCCTGCGGAGTGAAGATTCTGCCGTACTTAGACGATTGGCTTCTCTGCGCCCCGTCTCAGGCCTGTGCCTTTCACGACACAAACCGCCTGCTCGCTCATATGTCCCAGTTTGGCCTCAATGTCAACCTGGAGAAGAGCTGCCTGATCCCTTCCCAGACGACCACCTTTCTTGGGGTGGTTCTGGATTCATCTTCCATGAGAGCTCGCCCATCCGCTCAAAGGGTGGCCGGCATACTCCAGCTGGTCAATCGGTTCAGGCTGGGCAGGCAGCCCCCTATGTTGCCTTCCTGCAACTACTCGGCAAGCTGACATCAGTCACTCGGGTGGTGCCCTTAGGCCTGCTGTCACTTCGCCCCTTGCAGAGGTGGCTCAACAGCTTTTGCCTGGATGCCAGGCTGCACAGGCATCGCAAGCTCGCAGTGACGTGGTCATGTCTTCATGCCTTGACTCCATGGAGGGACGGAGATTATTTGTCCAGGGGTGTCCCCATGGGAGTGGTAGTGTGTCGCAGGGAAGTGATCACGACAGATGCCAGCTCCATGGGATGGGGGGCTGTGTGGCAACGCAGAGCGGTTCAGGGCCGCTGGGGTCAAAGAGACCATTCCAAGCATATAAATGTGCTGGAGCTGCGTGCAGTGCACTTGGCACTCAGGCACTTCCTGCCTCACCTGGAAGGGAGGCATATACTTGTTCGGTCAGACAACACCTCTGTTGTCTACCACATCAACCATCAGGGGGGCACCAGGTCAGCACAACTTCTGAGAGTGCCCAGAGAGCTCCTGGAATGGGCCTCTCCTCGCCTGTCCACCCTGCGGGCAGCGTACTTGCCAGGGCGACACAATCAGGTCGCAGATTTTCTCTCCCGCCAAGAGTCCCCTCCGGGAGAGTGGTCTCTCCACAGCGACATAGTGCTGATGATCTGGGACCGTTTTGGTCAGGCAGAGATAGACCTGTTTGCGACGGAAGAGTCGACTCAGTGTCCCCTATGGTACTCTCTTACGGGGGCGTCGGGTGCGCTAGGCTAGGACGCATTGGCTCATCCTTGGCCAAGGGTCCTTCTATATGCCTTTCCACCCCTTTCTCTAATTTGGCCAACCCTTCAGAGAGTCCTCGAGGAGGGCCACAGGATGCTGCTGGTGGCTCCGTATTGGCCAGCGCGACCATGGTTCCCACGGCTACGAAGTCTATGTCAGGGCGTCCCATGGTGTCTTCTGACCAGAAGGGACTTGCTGTCTCAGTTGGGGGGACTGATATGGCAACCCAATCCTCAACGTCTTCAGCTGTGGGTGTGGCCACTGCAAGGCTAGGACAGCAGCTGACTGGAGTTTCGAGCCCCGTCAGACGCACCATCCTGGGCACCAGGGCACCCTCTACTCGTCAGCAGTACGAAAACAGGTGGCGCCTGTTTTCCCAATGGTGTTCTGATCACAACAAGGATCCAGTCTCCTGTACAATACCCACCATTCTGGAGTTTCTCCAGTCTCTACTTGGTCACACCCGCCGACAGCTCCACGAGCACAAGGTTGGGACCTTCCCTTGGTTCTCGAAGCTCTGTGCCATCCTCCTTTCGAGCCTTTGACACAGGCGGACCTCAAGTGGCTTTCATGTAAGACGGCTTTTTTGTTGGCTATTACCTCAGCAAAGAGGGTCAGCGAGCTACATGCTCTCTCAATCAGCCCCTCATGTCTCAGGTGGGGCCCTGAGGGCTTGTGTGTTACCTTGTGGCCAAACATTGCATTCGTACCAAAGGTGTTATCTCACTCTCACTCTAACCAACCGTTGAGGCTGGCACGTTTTCAGCCTGCGCCTGGTGAGGGGTCTGCATTATTGTGCCCGGTGAGGGCACTGGAGGAATACGTTGCAGCTACTGCCGTGATAAGACATTCAGACCAGCTGTTTGTGTGTTATGGAGGCCCTAGGTTAGGCTGTCCTCTTTCCAAACAGCGCCTCTCCCACTGGATCGTGGACGTCATCTGCCACGCCTATGCTGCAGGGCCCGGCCCCCTGCCGGTCTGCTTGAAGGCTCACTCTACCAGGAGCGTCTTCGCTTCCTGGGCTGCCCTGAGAGGGGTTCCGCTGGAAGCAATATGTGCTGCTGCATCATGGGCTTCCCCAAGCACGTTCACCAGATTTTATAGTTAACGTGGCCACCCCTCATCCCCTGGGCCAGGTTCTTCTACAAGGGTCCTCTGGGCCTCCTCAGTGAGGTAGGCGTTTAGGATTCCTTGTGACATCGTTGGTATTAGTCATTCAGTGCTTTCAGCACCACCCTCTGGCGGTCAGGAGGGATGAAATAGAACGAAAGTTACGTATGTAACTACGGTTCTATGAATCCCGGATGACCGCCAGAGCTTCTCCGTCACTCTGAATCCTTGCGTTCCGTGAGAAGATTCTGTAGGAGCAGAGCAGCGGATGACGTCGGGCTATATAGCCTCTGATTGGTCATCCATGTCACACCTGTGACTCCGTTGGTATTATTACTCGAATCAGCGCATGCGCGAAGGGAACATTCGGTGCTTTCAGCACCGCCCTCTGGCGGTCATCCGGGATTCATAGAACCGTAGTTACATACGTAACTTTCGTTTTAAAACTAGACTTAAGACTTTCCATTTTGCTAAATCCTATAGTTAGGGTCGGCTTGGGTTTCCTGAGCTGTCCCTTAGTTATGCTGCTATAGGCTTAGACTGCTGGAAGACAAACTGACCACACTTTTCACTCTGCTACTGTCTTTATTTACTCTGCTCAACATTTGTAATTATTTTTTCTATCCTTAACATGTGTTTTTTTTTTTGTCTTTCAGGTACATCTGGACTTAAATATGGACCTACCATTCTGTGTTCATCTGTCTCTCCTTCCTGTCCTCTCAAACCAACCGGTCAATGCAGATGGCTGCTTGTCCTGAGCCTGGTTCTGCTGGAGGTTTCTTCCTTTTAAAAGAGAGATTTTTCCTTTCCACTGTTGCCACTGTGCTTGCTCAAGATGGGAGTCTGTGACGAAGCCAAGATTCAACTTGTCTGCTGGATTCCTTAGAGAACTTTACTAATTGGCTTTTATGTATGTGCATGTTCCTGTACAGTGCCCTGAGACAACTTTGTTGTGATTTGGCGCTATATAAATAAACTGAATTGAATTGAAACTGGGTGAGATTTTTTTCTTTTTCGAGTGAGAAAGGTCTGCTCTGCAAAAACATGCAGCAAACTTGGACAGGTCGTCATGTAAACAAATAATGATTCCACTTGCAGACAAGAACTTAACCACAAACATACAAAGTTTGTTTTCTCAGTCATCCAGGTATATAACAACAAAAAAGGTTGAATCATGTCATCTGGACTTCGTTTTTTTGTTAAAAAGAAACGTTTCGCCCCTCATCCAAGAGGCTTCGTCAGTCTGAGGCCTAGCCATCTGGTATTACCCAGAAGCCACCCTGACTTTTGTGTTTCAAGCCTGCCTCAGATACCCCTGAAGTCTGGCCTTTTCACTAATGGTTTCAAAAACACAAAGTTTGTTTTCTCAGCTTTGTGTTTTTGAAACCATTAGTGAAAAGGCCAGACTTCAGGGGTATCTGAGGCAGGCTTGAAACACAAGAGTCAGGGTGGCTTCTGGGTAATACCAGATGGCTAGGCCTCAGACTGACGAAGCCTCTTGGATGAGGGGCGAAACGTTTCTTTTTAACAAAAAAACGAAGTCCAGATGACATGATTCAACCTTTTTTGTTGTTAACCACAAACAGACATTAATGCTACTTTCTCTCAGTAAACAATTGTTTACCTCCTTGAGAAAAGGGGACTCCACCCCCAAGTATTTGGAGACCACATAGAGGCAGAAGAGGTGTCTGTCGATCCCAGCTCCAGTCATGGCCAGTCGATAAAGGTTCTGGTGCTTCTCAGAGGCTCGTCGGAAAAGATGCCCACATTCTTCTTCCCTCTGTAAACAATTTTACACTTTAAGTTATGAAAATAGAATCTGATAATCGTCAAACTTGGCAACAAATTAGGCACGTGGTCTTTCAATTTTTACTTTTATAAAGAGCTAAAGTTAAAGAGTTAAAGAGCTCATAAAAACCAATGACAGCTCAGGTTTTATTGAGATCAGGCCACTTCCATCATCCTGAACAAATGATGCTGTGAAGATCTGTCATGTCCAAAACCTTTCATTTGTACTTAGAGAAATCATTCTTCAAGATGAGTTTGGGTGGTGAGCAGGAATGTGTCATTACCTCTCCACCCTCCAGAGCTTTGATGAAGGCACAGCTCTCATTGGAGCAGGATCTCACAGTCTCTGTTCGGCCCTCCCTGAACAAACGGGTCATCGATGCCTCGTACGTCAGACAGAATCCACCACGATCCTGCAGACAGACCACACATGAATGTTGGGTACTGGACTTTTGCATTTTGACGTTTCACACCTCTGCAACATTCTGCAGCATCTTGTGCTGCTTTTCAAAGCTCAAACAACAGTGTGTTGAAGGATTTCAACAAGAAAATATGCCTTTGCTTGTTTTCTTTAGAATGAGTCAACGGAGCTCTTTTACATGTTATGAGCTCAAGTAAGAACTAATAAAATGTTCAACTTCCACATAGTTGTTTGCAAAAGCTGCAGAGTAAGAAGTCTCTGATCCCTTGTTGCATAAGCCTAAGAACTTTGTTTGAATGTGTAAAAAGCCTAAGAATATATTTACAAGCTCCAAATTTTAATGAACAAGTTGAACCCATAAACAACTCCAAATAAACAATTCACTTTAAAGTTATTAATCCAAAACATTCAGCTGCATTTCATTTATCAAGTATGGCACCATGTATGTTCACAGCACACACACCAGTTTCAGTGTTTTAGTAGCTCGTTAAGTTTCTTGATTGAAACGTAGTGAATGTTACTTGTTACCCTGTAGTACGCCAACTGGAGGCTGATCTGTATGAAAGCATCGGGACTGATCCTGCACTTCTTGATCCGACCCTTTCCAAAGTCATTGAATGGAAACACATGGCAGTCCACATCATCGGCCAAGGTCTGGGCAACAGCCAGGGAGCTGCAGACCTGAGCCTGAACCTAACGGAGATAAAGACAATCACACATGAAAGCAAAGAGAAACTGTCAGTGATGTTCACTCACACAAGGTTAACTGAGCCCAAAAGACAAATGGTTGATCGGTTTGACTGAGCTCACCGTTTAAGTTCAATACACTGTTCAAAGAAATGCTGATTTGACAAAGAATACAGTGGGTTGCAGAAGTATTCACCCCCTTGTTAATCTTTTCATTTCATTGTCTTACAGCCTGAAATGTAAATGAACGGTCAGTTTGATTTTAATAGTCCAACACAAAATACTTCAGATTAATAAAACAAAAAAAAAGGTATATAAAATATACTATTATAATAAAAATAAAATATAAAACTAAAAACTGGTGTGTGAATGAGTATGTACTCCCTTTGCTGTAAAGCTCCAGACATAAATAGTTAAGTAAGGGCCAGCTGTGGGTAATCTAAGAGCTGTTACTTTCAGTACATAAACATGTTCTAATGGCAAACAGAATCAACAGCAGATCAACCCTAGAAAGACCTTCCACCAAACAGCATGGAGATCAAGGAACTCTCCACACAGTTAAAAAAAAAGGCTGGGGAAAGTACAGATCAAGGGTTAGGGTTATAAGAATATTTTTAAACCATGTGAAGTTCTATTAAATTTATCACTAGAAGAAGAAAGCATTACGAGTCTGATTTTCTGTAAGTCAGGTGTTTATAATTAAAGCAGAAACTTGAGGGAGTGACTGTACCTCTGATGGGATGTCCCACACAAGCCTCTGAGGTGGGGGCAGTGAGAGCTCCACTTCACCTTTACAGTGTCCGTCTTCTGTGTATCCCAGCTGGAAGGCATCTGTGGCCAGAGTATACTGGAAAATCCCACAGGAAACGAGGGTTTGAGACAACCTGGCTGAATTCACAGTAACTCTGACTGAATATAGAAACACTATTAGTGGAGCTTTTACCATTTTAGATCATAAACCACAAAATACAACACATTATCTAGCGAAGAGTATTAAAAGTAAAAAACATACAGTTTATACAGGCTGCTGCCATTGACTTAAAAGTATAAACAAAATCCAACAATTTGAAAAGAGCAATAGATATACAAAACAAAATGTTTATTTTCTGTAATGTTACAACATTCTGCCTTCTCAGTAACAGGCGATGGGTGATTTTGCCATCTGCTCAGGTGTGTGGCATCGCCTACTCAGACTATTTCGTTCTGAGTCGATCGACGCGCCAGCACACATGATCGTTTTCAGTTACTCTAGCAGGAAAGACACAGCCTCTCAGAGACTCCATTTTTATTTGTCTAAAGCTGTAGTTCTCAAACTGGGGTCCCCAGACCCCCGGGGTCCATGAACAAATTAATTTGAATTAAGATTTTAGCCAAGTTAAATAATAAAGTCCATGCTCAATAATCCAGGTATACAATCCAACATTTTTCAGTCAGGTCATCAGGTCATCATTTTAGAAACTGTCCAGATGACCTGACTGAAAAATGTTGGGCAAGTCAAATAATGTTTAAAAAGTGCATAAATACACCAATCAGACAAACTAATGAACTAATAACTCCCGCCCACCTCAGCTTTAAACCAATCAAAACTCTAATGTGATTACGACACACGTCGTAAATCTGTAAACAAAGTCTGGACACATTTGGTGCACAGCTCTTTCCGCTGCTCAGCATTTAGTAGAGATGGAAATGTATTTAAATTTGTCAACTTCATCAAGTGTAGCAAATCCCAAACTAGCTAAACTTCAAAAATATGACGACAATTACATTGAGTTTGGTTTCATCGAGAGCAACGATGGAAGAACAAAATGTGTCCCGTGTCTTCAGGTGCATGAAGCTATGAAGCCAGCCAAGCTAAAGCAACATCCGTCTATGAAGCACCTAAAGTTCAAGGATGAAAATAAAGTGTTTGGGGTTTTTTTTCAGCAAAAAGGGGATGACTACATGCGACAAACAAAACAAATGGTGGACTTTGCCACAGTTTCACAGAAAGCAGAGTGGGCTTCTTATTTAGTGGCTCAACGCATGGCAAAAACTAAGAAGCCACACTCGATTGGACAGGAACTTGTTCTCCCAGCAGCAGTGGAGATGTGTGAAGCCATCCTGGGCGCAGAGGCAGCCAATAAGCTTAAAGCTGTACCACTTTCCAACAACACTGTTAGCAGAATAATTAAAGAACTCCCAGCTGACATACTGTCACAGCTACTGGATCGACTGTGTTCCTGAGAGCAATGTTCTGTTCAGTTGGATGAATTCACTGACAATTCTAGTGTGGCTCAATTAATTACTTTGGTGCGCTACCCTGGGATGAAGGCATTTTGGAGGACTTTCTGTTCTGCAAGGAGGTGCCAGGCAGAACGACAGGCGAGGACATATTCAAACTTTTGGATGTGTTCCTGACTGAAGCCAGGATGAGCTGGAAACAAAGTGTTTGTATGGATGGAGCTGCTGCAATGACTAGACCAAAGAGTGGGGTTACAGTGCGGATTAAAGCTGTTAATCCAAAGATTATTACAACTCACTGCATGCTGCATAGACAAGCATTCACCTCCAAATACATTGAACCAGATCTCCACTCTGTTTTGAACACTGCTGTGACTGCAGTTAAGTTTGTGAAGATCAGGGCACTACATCACATCTGTTTGGACAGCTTTTCCGGGACCTGGATGCTGGTCATGACACACTGCTGTATCACACTGGTGTGACGACTCTCTCATGGTAAAGTCTTACAACGATTATTTGAGCTAGGCAGAGAAATGGCAGAGGGAAAACCAGACATTGCACAGTTTTATTGACTCAGAGGATGTGACAAAGTTGGCATGGCTTGCTGATATATTTAATTTACTGCATGGCATCCACCTCTCCATCCAAGGTGGACACACATCTATTCTGGAAGTCAGAGACATAATCACAGCTTTCATGAAGAAAGCAGACCTCTGGAGTAGGACGATACATGGCATATTCCTCAAACTGATCGAGTTTCTCCACACTAATAACCTTTCTGCGGCTACAGTGAGGGAGGTCATCACCTCACATCGAGCCACCTGCATCATGAAGGACCCCACTCACCCAGCACACGCACATTTTGCTCTGCTCCCCTCAGGAAGGAGGTTAAGGAGCATTAAGTATGGCAAGCCCTTTTAACATAAAATCGGATTCACCACGCTTACATTCCAGATATCTTAAACTGAGTTTTGACTAGACATATTAGTTATTCAAGATATCTTGAATTACATTTTGACTAGTCAAAATACCTATTTAAGATATCTCTAATTACATTCTGACTAGTCATAATGACGTCAGATTTACCATTGAGTTGTATGGAGGCTTCAATTCAAGATATCTTGAATTGATTTTTGACTAGTCAAAAATACAGTTCTAGATATCTCTAAGTTAATTTTGACTAGTCATTATTTGCTTTCAAGATATCTCACTTTTAGTTCTGACTAGTCATAATTACAATTAAAGATATCTTAAATGACGTCATTATTCAAGATATCTTAAATGTATTTGTAGATATCAAAAATGAAGTTTTGACTAGTGCAAATTAAATTGTAGATATCTTGAAAGCAAATAACGACTAGGCAAAACTAACTTAAAGATATCTAGAACTGTACTTATGACTAGTCAAAATTCCTTTTAAGATATCTCAAAATGAATTCAAGATATCTTGAATATTTTATCATGTAGACTGCTTTTCTATTTAAGATATCTTGAATTCACATTTTGACTAGTCAGAATGACATTCAAGATATCTTGAATTGTTATTCTGACTAGTCAAAACGTCACAGATTTACGTAGCATTTTGGCGGAAAAATCATAAAGCATTGTAGCCTTTTTATTTTATAATCTGCAAAATCAGGTCAGTCCAACACAACGCTCGTATTTTTAACATGATTTTTAGCGCGGCAGCTCGGATTATTTATTGTATCTGAAACAAGAAGACTCTTTTGCGACGTCTTTTTCACGACAACTGGAAACCGACACTTCCTGCTTTGCGAGTTTTTGCACTGAGGAGAAATGGCTCTCTTTTCAACATCTTTGCTTAATTTGCCAAGCTTTTTTTTCGCTGCTGAGGAGGAAATCGCAGCGGCGAATTCTCGAACTAATAAACGTGAAAGGACAAAAGTTCTTCCTTGAAGAAAATATCCTCAGCTGTCAAGGTAAGAAAAGACGTAGCTTAGCAAGCTAACCGTTAGCTACAACATATGAAGCGCATAAACATCGTGATAAAGAAGCCTAATTTAGTGTGCTACATTATTTGGAGTGTTTGAGACAGACATCATATAAAATCTTTAATTATATTTTTATGAGGTTCCATTAGTGCCAAACATATGTTTATGTGTATGTAGCGTGCTGTGTATATGTAAGGTGATGTGTTAAGTGAATCCATCTACAATCTATTACTTGTTTAAAGCTAAATATGTTATAACAAGTATTAATTATATATGTGTGTGTGTGTGTGTGTGTGTGTGCTAAAATCAGATCTATTTTAGATCTCACTGGGTGTTGAAAAAATAAATGTTGGCTTATTTCTGTAGAAGTGCAGCTGGTAAAGGTTTTTGTAACCATGTAGTTGCACTTTTTTTTACCAGACTGCCCACTACTCCCAACTCCAGCTGCCAACTGGTCCTCCTGTCTCCACAGTCTCCTCCTGTACTGGACTGCACAAGAGATTTACAAAGATGGCACAGACAAAGAACACAGGTAAAAAAATAAAATAAGAGTGGAACACATTCTTTTCTGTTATATTATTTAGTATATGATGGTTATGATTCTCATCACAATAATTGTAATAACGTTCCCACCTGTATATTATTAGTGCCATGTGAAATTTGTCATAGTCTCAATATTACTTGTGTCAAATATATTTTTCTCTCCTAACTTGTTTAGAATTGTTTATTTTTGTAGGTAATGAATAAATGCAGGTTCAACTTCTATGAATTAGTAATATTTGCAAGTTAAGTAAAAATCTTAACTCTCAAATCTGTCCCACTGTGTCAAATTGCTCACTTGTCCCTTTACATTTATTTATTTTTTAGTTTGACATATTTTATGTTTATTTCTTGAAAGGGAATCCATCCTGAACCTGCCAGCGAGGTGGTGGTGCGAAAGCCCAAAACTGTGGTGAAAAGATGTTTGCACTCCACGCTTTACAGAGCTTACACAGGTATAACCTTTGGGTTAATGTTTTTATGTCCATGTTTCCTTTGTCAGAACGTATTGTAATTCTGTCACTCGTGTGTTTGTAGGACCACTTCCAGATCCTGACATCCTGGCATCGGGAGAAAAACTGCACCAGCTGGAGTCCCAACCACTTATCACACTTATCCTAGAGATGGTCTCTCAGCTTTGGAGCTGGTACCATCCAGACTTGGTCCTGTGCCACAGGGCTCACTGAGGTCTCACCAGTGCCCACCTGCATCATTCTGCACCACATGGCTCCAGACCTCCCTGCTCTTCCTTCGATGCTGCATAGTCTTCCCAACATGTGTTTTGTGCCCACACTCGATCAACTTATGCATCTTCAGTCTCTGCAAGTGTCACATGAAGTACAGGCCAGAACCAGGGAGCAGTCCATATGTCCCGCGTGGGTACAGCTTCGACAACCAAGGCTTACTACTAGCTGTTTCCACTTTCCGTGTTGCTTACAGAGGAAGTGCAGAGGAGGAGTCTGCTGACAGCACCGGCAGCTCAGATGATCAGCGGGTACACTAAACAATAACTGTTGAACGGGTATGGTGTGATGAATGGATTGATGATTGATTGATTGATCAGATGAAGTCTAAACTGGACATGTTTTACTTCAACACCTTCATCCATGTGTTTATATCAATGCAGCAAGAAACATAAAATTTATAAATCACCCTTTTGTTCCTTCATATTTTTAATCAGTCTCAAGCTGTGAATCACTGTAAATACTATATCTTGATGCTGCTCAATGATCCA